ACATCTGATGGTCCACGGATGTAGCTTGTTCTAACCCTTTGGTTAAATCTATTGTATACATATTTCCATGCAGTATTCTAGTACCCTCTTGAGTTCGCCGATTTGATGGAACAAAACGTCTGGACTTAACAACACTAAAATACGATGGTTAGTTCCTTAAGTAAGTGCTAGGTGAAAAGCTTCGAGATTTACACACTGATTGTGAGTTTAGATTTTCGCACGACTATTTCATCCACGCATACCTACGTTCTGCACCATCTGGTCTTCATCGATTAGTTGGATCTTGATTCCTGTTGACTAGTGTACATACGTATGTATGTGTACTAGATATTGAGTTACTTATTTGGCTGACAATCAGCTTCAAAAGCAATGAAACTTACCACCGAATTAAGATCTGTGAAAGTTAAGATTTCTTATGTCTGGTGTTCGCTTTGGATTTTGCATTCCTTCCAATGATTACACAAGATGTAGGATGATAGAGAGCTGCTACTTTTGTCATATACGGTTAAGGATGGAGAAACTATGTCAATAGATATGACAGCAAAAAAATAAAGCACGATAAACCAATTGCAGTAAACATGAATATGGTCCTAATGTTGTGAAGTACTACTCACACATATGAGCAGTATGTTTGGATTGCGCAAAAGAATGCGATTGGCGGTTTCGCACGACGATCAAAGGGGAACAAGAGCGAATTACCGTGCTCAAAACTGTGCCTATTGAAAATGGGCACCTACCGTCGGACTGTTCCATTAATTATCCTGCATGCATTTGGGAATAATGATGACCTATCCCAAAAGAGACGTTTTGTTGTGGTCATGCCAATTTATCGATATCCTTACGGTTGATCGTAATAAACAACTATCCTTGTCCCGACACTGCCTCGTGGATATATAACACTAGTTTTCCACGATGCTATCTATCAGATAGAACGTGGCTCGTGACTGTGTTGGTAAGAAAAAGATTGACTGAGAAAAATACGAACCCAACTTCAAGCACCGACGATAAAGCAAATGATAGAGCTTTTTAAAGATGAGCGATGAGAAATCCGTCATCGAACTCACTTCACTCTATGAAGACACTGGACCTGTGGAGCCACCAATCA